TTTGATGTTGATATACCTGATATGAACACTCAGTACAAAGGGGCAAGACGTTCATGTCAACAGAATGATAACATTACAGTTGATCATCACTATCACATGGACATATTTAATGCTACGATTGATCATCAGTTAGAAGAGTTACATAGTAGATTCAATGAATAGACAATGGAATTGTTTATGTTCAGCTCTACTTTAGATCCTCAGGACAACTTTAAATCTTTCAATCCTGAGCACATTTGTTTACTTGCTGAGAAGTTTTATGCGGCTGATTTTGATAGACAAGACATGCATCATTTGAAATGTCAACTGAATCATTATTAATTTGATGTGGTTCGTCATGAGAGATTTCAAAGTATGTCTATAATTTCAGAATTATGTCATGGTTTAGTAGAAACAAATAAGGTAGAGTCCTACAATTTGATTGATAAATTGATTCGTCTTATTTTAACTTTCCCGTTTCTACGACAACTTCAGAAAGAGTATTTTCGGCCCTGAAACATGTCACAAGTACTCTTCGTAACAAGATGAAAGATGAGTATTTGACTGATTCGTTAGTTGTCTACATTGAAAGAGAAATAACGGAAACAATCGATACAGANGTAACAAGATGGAAGATGAGTATTTGACTGATTCGTTAGTTGTCTACATTGAAAGAGAAATAACGGAAACAATCGATACAGATTCAATAATAGATGACTTTTGTTCTATGAATGATCGAAGAGTCTAATTTCATTAGTAAGTGTTTATGAATTTACATTTGGATTATTGAATATATGTTTATGAGTTTACATTTGCATTTTGTTAGTCGTATGAATGCTTAATTTAGCTCGGGATAAACAAAAATCCTGACTCTGCCCTTGGTGCCCTCGATTTATGCGAAAGCAAGTTACTGTTAATTTTTCACTACATTTGAGATTTTTTTTTTATTTTTTTGAATCTTCACTCCGCAAAAACTTAATTTTCTTAGCACACTTTTAGGTAGTTCTTTTCTTTTTTTTGATAGTTCACTAATGTATATTTCTTATGGGTAATCAGGGTCTAAAGGTAAGGTGCGGCGTGTGTACCGTAAACTTCAATTTTTAAGTGGGATGTTGGTGTTGAAAAATGTCGGATAGAGTTATTGAAATTTGTCATGTTTATTATTATAGACATGCTACTTATGTACATGACAATCCCAATGTAAAATATTTCTTTGACCTGTATTTTTGACATCTTCGGACACTCAATTGACAGGAATAGGATATAGAGATTCCTGTTATTGCAAACCGTCTCAACGGGACCCCTGTTTACCCATCAGTACATTCACCGACTACTTTAGCCTCCCAATTCATGGTTGCACTCCCTCTGGCACATTATTTTTTACATTCATGTTATATTCTATATATACTTGTTTACTCTCGCAAAAAATAATGTTTGTCATTATTGTTGTGGTAGCAAATAGATTTTCTTGGTATCCAAAAACTAGGCAGCAGAAAATCCTGCAGATTGATTTTTGTTTGATACAAGGGAGTATATCTGGGGACTGCTGTAGGAACCCCTTCTTACTGTTCTTCTAGCAGCAGAAGATTATGGATGCGTGGTTGGATTTTTTTTTTTTTTTTGATAACCATGCGGTAGGATCCCTCGATTAGAAAGGCATGGGTTTGGGGAAAAACTCGATTAGAAATCTTAGTTTTTTACACAAGCCTAGAGCTTACAATAAGACTGTTCATTGGGTGGCAGTCGCTCAATTATCCAATTCTCTTCCATTGGATTGGATCGGTTTCTCCCCACCCGAACTTAAGACTTCTCTTTTGAATAACTGTAATCAAAACTTTCTTACATAATAAATTTCAAACGGTGGTCCGATTGCTCAAAAAAAAAAAACAGCTTCATGTTTCTTTCTATGACAACGTCTAAATTTGCTACTGTGAGTATTTAGCTGGATAAAGTAATGACATTTGTAGGAAACATACTAGATTATACTGTTAGTCTGTTACTCTGATAAATATCAATTTCTTCCGCCGGCCTAACAGTATCGAAAAAAAGTATGGATTTTAAGTCCCGATTTTTTAGAAGGCCTTATAATTTTAAGTACATTACTAGTCCACAAAAAAAAATTAAATTCATTAAATTTTAAACCGTACAAAAAAGTTCCAAAAAATTAAATTTAATCAAAATTTCTATTGTAATAATTTGGGTCTATAATTCATTCCATAACATTAAAAACGTAGAAATTTTAAAAATAAAAAAGTGAAAATTAAGGTTGAGTCCTCCTGGATGAACTTATAATGACTTGAGTCCGTCAATCTAACTTATTTTATGATAAGTCCGTTTTTTATCTTACTAATAAGTACTTAAGTCCACTATTTTTTTAAATCTCAACCTATCTTTAACAGTATTATTATGTTCAATTATAGAAACCTTAAAGACCTTGAAAGTAATTTTAAATTAATTTCTTAAATTAAAAATTATTATCCCTTAATTTAGTCCTAAATTAAAATTCAAATTTACTCTCTCTATCTCTCTCTCTTTAGAAGAAGATTCTCTCATTCAATAACAAATGCAAACATTCACAATAATAATTATAAACCGTAATGTAACATTTATTTTTTTTGTAGTAACATCAAATTTTTATGCATAGTAACACAACAACTTTAACAAAACTTGGGAAGGTATATGTTGCACAGTAACATTAACGAGATATTTTTTTATACAGTAACATTAATGAAATATTTTTTCCTTCACAGTAATAATAATTTTTCCATACTTTTCATAAAAGACGGTTCACAAATTAAAAAATTACATTATTTAGAATAATAACACATAATCGTCAATTGAATTAGAATACTCATCACCCCTTGTGAATGTCAAGACATCGAATATGTAAAAATGATTTTTCTTTTCTCTCATAGTAACATCAACTAGTTCCCACAAGTAACACAATCAAGCATTTTTCGATTGTATTGCACAACAAAAGATCCAAAAAATTAAAATCTATATTATTTAATTTAGAAACAATGAATCACATTTTGAAATTAGGAATGCAAAAAATAATGAAAATTTTGAAAACTTGGAGGCTTCTTCCTCTGGTTATGGATTTGAATATTACTATTTTTATTTTCAATTTTGTTCAATGTTTCATATTTTTATTTTTATTTTTTTTTTGAATATGTTACTATTTTTGTTAAGCATGTTACTATTTTTAATGAATATGTTACTATTATTATTTTTTTTAAATATTAATATTGAATGAACATGTTATTATTTTTATTTTTTAAAATATTAATATTAAATATTACTATTTTTTTATGTTTAAATGTTACTATTTTTTTATGTTTAAATATTACTATTTTTTTATATTTAAATGTTACTTTTTTGTGTGTTTAAACGGTACTATTTTTGTGTTTAAATAATTTTTTTTTTTTTTTTGTGTATTTGAATGTTGCTATTTTTTACTTTTAATGTTTATATATATATATAGTCTTAACCTATATATGGATATAAATAGATATGAGAGAAAAAAAAATTTAATGTTATTTAAACTCTTAAAATTTATGAGTTTTTAATTTTTAGTTTTATTTTACTTATAAAAGGAAGGGATAGTCTGATAAAATTGACAAAAAATAGATTTCATAACAAATATGTTTCATTGACGGACTTAAGTCCAAACAAGTACATATAAAAGGACCGGCCTCCAAATTTCCCAAAAAAAACCTTAAAATTCAACTTATATTTACTCCCACCCATTCTTTCTCTCTACGCTAAAAAAAAAAATTAAAATTAAACACTTTCTCTCCCTCTTTGTGATAAAAAAAAAACAAAAGTTGAAATCTTTTTTTCGACAACATTAACACATCTTTATTTTGTCTCTCTCTTAGATAAAAGAGCAATATTATTGGGACAAAATTTGAGAACATAATTTAGGGACTTAACGATTGTAGTCATTAGATTGTTAGTGGGTCCCAACATTAAATTATCACTGAGTCCCAACACTATCAATCCAATAATCATAATGCATTAAATCTCTAAATTATGTCCAAATAACATTAGTGTACATAAAAAATTAAAAATAAATTAATTTTTTTAAATAAATAATATTAAAAATAAAAAGACCTCTATTCAATGTTTTCCGTCATAGGCCTTAAATTGGCTTGAACCGCCCCTATATATAGCTCACCTATAGTATTTATTCGTTGTCTTAGTAAACGAAACTCAAATAGAGATTAATAATAATTTAAAAATTTGGAGAAACACACTCGAATTAAAAAGATTTAAAATAAGTAAGAATAAAATTAAATATATTGAATACAATTTTAGTAATAAAATTAGTAGACATAGTGTCTCCCTCGGTGTTTAAATCTCCCTCTCTATATGGATCGGTTGCGGGTCTTCTTGATCCTTCTGAATTATTTTGGAAAACTATGCGTGGATCTCTCTGCACTAGTCTGTTGTAATTTCTCTCTGCCTCTAGACATTTCGTTATTGGTTCTTCAATCAGGGTTGAGACAGGAAAAGACTTTACAGATTCAGTCGCTTCAAATTCCAAGCCTCCTTCTCTTTAGCTTTTCTTGGAATTGTTACATGAGGCAACAAATAACAAACAAGCTACCAGAAGGGGGTAGAAAAGGGTTTTCACCGTCAAGCCATATATTGGGCAAAAAGCCACACAGAATATTCTCTGAATATTTCCTAAATATTCTCCTAATACTTGTTATAAAAGGCAGTGATCTCTATGTAAAAATGGGGCATCAAGTAAGGAAAAAAATCCTATTGTACTCTTCTTCTTCAAGAAAGCAATATACAATCAAAGAGCAAGAGTCTCCATTACAGTGGATTAGTCAAGCTTTTCAGCTAGTGAACCACTTTTTTTCTTGTGTATTCTCATTTATTTTTACACACTCACCAAGAGCTCATCTAGCTCTCCACCTCATGCCTCTCGATTTTTTAGCACCATCGGTTTGGTGTCGTCTATGGGAAGGATTTTCATCGTTCTAAATCAAATCCTTAACGATTGACCAATGGTTCAAGACAGNCGACCTGACCCCTTAGTTGACCTAGTTCCTCAGCCAAGGAATGACCCGACTCTTCAGCTCGACTTGGCTCTTCAGCTAAGGAATAATTTGGGTCTTCACTCGAAGTATGACCTAACTTTTCAACTAAAATATTGCCTTACTCATCAATCACCGCAAGACCTGACTTTTCAACTAAGATATTGCCTTGCGCACATTCCTTGCTCATCAATCAGTTAACTTTTCTCATAGACGGCGTCAAACTGATGATACCGAAAAAATACATGAGGCAACAAACAATAAAGAAACTACTACAAGGGGTAAAAAAAGGTTTTCACCATCAAGCCATATATTGGGCAAAAAGCCACACAGAATATTCTTTAAATATTCTCCTAATATCCTGTTATAAAAGATAGTGATCTCTATGTAAAAAGGGGGCCTCAAGTAAGGAAAAATCTCTATTGTACTATTCTTCTTCAAGAAAACAGTATACAATCAAAGAGCAAGAGCCNGAACTATCTGGCTTTTCAGCCAAGAAACGACCTGGCTCTTCAGCCGACCTGGCTTTTTAGCCAAAGAATGACTTGGCTTTTTAGCCAAGGAATGATGCGACTCTTCAGCTAAGGAAAGACGTGGTTCTTCAGTCGACTTGACTTTTCAGCTAAGGAATGACCTGACTTTTCAGCAAAGGAAGGATCTGGCTCATCAGCCAACCTGGCTCCTTAGCCTAGGAACGACTTTGTTCTTCAGCCAAGGAATAATTTGGAAGGAAGGATTTGGCTCTTCAGCCAACCTGGCTTTTCATCCAGGGACCGACCTGGCTCCTCAGCCAAGGAATGACTTGGCTTTTCAGCCAAGGAACGACGTGGCTCTTCAGTTGACCTGGCTTTTCAACCAAGGAAAGATGTGACTCTTCAACCAAGAAATGACTTGACTTTTCCACCAAGGAAAGACGTGGCTCTTCAGCCGACCTGACTTTTCAGCCAAGGAACGATGTGGCTCTTCAGCCAAGGAATGACCTAGCTTTTCAACTAAGGAATGATCCGGCTCTTCAGTCGACCTGACTCCTTAGCCCATAAACGACTTGATTCTTCAACCAAGAAATAATCTGGAAGGAAAGACCTAGCTCCTTAGCTAACCTGACTTTCACCCAAGGAACAACGTGGCTCTTTAGCCAAAGAATGATAGGGCTCTTCAGCCAAGGAATGATCCGGCTCTTCAGTCGACTTGGCTCCTTAGCCAAGGGCCGACTTGGCTTTTCAGGCCGACCTGACCCCTTAGTTGACCTAGTTCCTCAGCCAAGGAATGACCCGACTCTTCAGCTCGACTTGGCTCTTCAGCTAAGGAATAATTTGGGTCTTCACTCGAAGTATGACCTAACTTTTCAACTAAAATATTGCCTTACTCATCAATCACCGCAAGACCTGACTTTTCAACTAAGATATTGCCTTGCGCACATTCCTTGCTCATCAATCAGTTAACTTTTCTCATAGACGGCGTCAAACTGATGATACCGAAAAAATACATGAGGCAACAAACAATAAAGAAACTACTACAAGGGGTAAAAAAAGGTTTTCACCATCAAGCCATATATTGGGCAAAAAGCCACACAGAATATTCTTTAAATATTCTCCTAATATCCTGTTATAAAAGATAGTGATCTCTATGTAAAAAGGGGGCCTCAAGTAAGGAAAAATCTCTATTGTACTATTCTTCTTCAAGAAAACAGTATACAATCAAAGAGCAAGAGCCTCTATTACAGTGAATTAGTCAAGCTTTTCAGCTGGTGAACCACTTATTTTCTTGTATATTCTCATTCATTTTTACACACATACGACACACCCACCAAGAGCTCATCCAGCTCTCCATCTCATGCCTCTCAATTTTTTAGCACCATCAGTTAGTCTGGCTTCAGGGTTCTTCATTGTTCCACGGTTATCCTTCTGCAACTAGCTGGATATTCATCTTCTCCATTGGATCTGCAGGATTGGAGATTCCTCTTCAAGGCTGGATAGTCATCTTCTATACAGAGGCTTCGAGGATACTTGTCTTCTTTGCTCACAGAAGGGAAATGGATCCTATTTACTGGTTCATTGTTCTTCTCCATTGTTCTGGCTTTTCTCCATTTGACTCTCAGAGCCTTTCTGAAACTTTTATATTTCAGTCTTTCAATCGTTCGTAATGGCTGGTACAGAGATGTGTAGCTTCCCTGTGACTATCCATCTGACATGGAATATGCCTAAGTTTGAAGGTCCGACCTGAATGGCAGTTATTACTGATCTGCCTTTTCGTCTGGAATGGTCTTTCGTTTTACACTTGCCGCCTTATCATATATGATTGGCTAGCTTCAGAGACTCAGCTCATGCTTCCAGCTGCTGATACTCCCAACTCATGCTTCCAGCTGCTGATACTCCCAGCTCATGCTCTCATATTCTTAGCTAAAGCTCTCAGTTGTTCACGCTACTGTGCAGCTGGACATTAGTCACGTTAATGTGCAGCTGGATTTTGACTGCTGCAACTGAACTCTTTCGGCTGGTATGCTGCAGCTGGACTGTTCACATCACTGTTCAGTTCAGCAGTCAGCTCAGCCGTTGGTTTCAAACAGGCTGCATTGGATAGAAGCATTTTAAGAAATTATGCTTTCCAGAATATTTTTAGTATTTCCATCTAAAATCATGCATTAGAATTTTTAATTCTTTATTGGATTGTAATTAGATTGTATCGAGGGGAAGGTACATATGTTTCTCCTAGCTAGGTGTAATTTGATTTTTAATCAATAAAATTTTCTCGCACCGTCGAGGTTCTCCCAAAAAAAAAAAGAAGTTAACATTAAAAATTTAAAAATACCAACAAGTAAACGATTTAGATATTTAAGATCGATCATTAAAAATTATAGAGAGATTGAAGACGATATAACTCATAGAATCAATACCGATTGATTTAAATGGAGGAAATCATCTGTCATATTATGTGATGGAAATATATCAATAAAATTGAAAAACAAGTTCTACCAAACAGCTATAAGGACAACAATATTGTATGTAATAGAATGTTGAGCAATTAGAAAATAACATAGTTACAAAATGAGTGTAGCGGAAATAAAAATATTAAAGACGTATGGAAAAATAAAAAATGATAGATTACGAAATGATCATATTAAAGAAATGATAAGAGTAGCTCCAATTGAGGATAAGTTGAAGGAGGATAGATTAAAATGGTTTGGTTATGTTCAACTAAGGCCGATAGAGGCACCGATTAAAAAAAATGATAAAATTTCTCTTAATAGTACTAGAAGTAGGGGTAGATCTAAATTAACATTGAACAAAATAAAAAAAAATATAAAAATATTTAATTTAAATGAGCATATAGCATATGACCGAAATGAATGACGAAGACAAACTCAAATAACCGACCCAAAAGATTGGTATATAAGATTTAGTTTGGTTGGTTGGTTGGAATATATAGCTCACCCATATTAGCATCACAATAGTACATAGTTTCATGGGATAGTGCTGTTTTTTTTTGTCAAAATGAACAAAAACTGAAAGATGGTTTATCGCCTTAAGCTTCCAACATATATTTCGGTTTACATAGAAACAAAGTATTTCTGCATTCGACACACATTTTTCCACATTCAATCACATATTACTCAGGAAACCCTCCTAAGCTTGCATTTGCTTTTAACACTTCTCATGGAAACAAATTTCTCAACTTGTTTCTGTATTTTTCCCATCATTTAAGGCCGTCAAGGTTATTGGACATCCGCTTCTCAGTCGGGGAATAGGTGATTTCCTTTCTAGGCTTGGATCTAGATCGTCAACCGTCCACCTATGCATAAAAGAAGAAGTATTAATTACTGAAAATTAAGGTAGAATGAAAATGTCATAAAAGATGTGGACTCACTTGTATCCACCAGTCAGTCTGTGTAAGAACACCAGCATTGTCACTTTTGCCATATTGTTTCCCAAGCATGTCCTGGGTCCTGATCCAAAGGGTATGTAAGTAAATGGCTTTGGCATCTCCTGGAGACATGAAACATCCAATTATTTCTTTTTTTCTACCAAAACGAAAAAGAAATATCTACGAGCAGAGTAGGAAAATTATTAATTACATCAAATCTGGAAGGATTGAACTGCAGAGGGTNGGCTTCGAGGATACTTGTCTTCTTTGCTCACAGAAGGGAAATGGATCCTATTTACTGGTTCATTGTTCTTCTCCATTGTTCTGGCTTTTCTCCATTTGACTCTCAGAGCCTTTCTGAAACTTTTATATTTCAGTCTTTCAATCGTTCGTAATGGCTGGTACAGAGATGTGTAGCTTCCCTGTGACTATCCATCTGACATGGAATATGCCTAAGTTTGAAGGTCCGACCTGAATGGCAGTTATTACTGATCTGCCTTTTCGTCTGGAATGGTCTTTCGTTTTACACTTGCCGCCTTATCATATATGATTGGCTAGCTTCAGAGACTCAGCTCATGCTTCCAGCTGCTGATACTCCCAACTCATGCTTCCAGCTGCTGATACTCCCAGCTCATGCTCTCATATTCTTAGCTAAAGCTCTCAGTTGTTCACGCTACTGTGCAGCTGGACATTAGTCACGTTAATGTGCAGCTGGATTTTGACTGCTGCAACTGAACTCTTTCGGCTGGTATGCTGCAGCTGGACTGTTCACATCACTGTTCAGTTCAGCAGTCAGCTCAGCCGTTGGTTTCAAACAGGCTGCATTGGATAGAAGCATTTTAAGAAATTATGCTTTCCAGAATATTTTTAGTATTTCCATCTAAAATCATGCATTAGAATTTTTAATTCTTTATTGGATTGTAATTAGATTGTATCGAGGGGAAGGTACATATGTTTCTCCTAGCTAGGTGTAATTTGATTTTTAATCAATAAAATTTTCTCGCACCGTCGAGGTTCTCCCAAAAAAAAAAAGAAGTTAACATTAAAAATTTAAAAATACCAACAAGTAAACGATTTAGATATTTAAGATCGATCATTAAAAATTATAGAGAGATTGAAGACGATATAACTCATAGAATCAATACCGATTGATTTAAATGGAGGAAATCATCTGTCATATTATGTGATGGAAATATATCAATAAAATTGAAAAACAAGTTCTACCAAACAGCTATAAGGACAACAATATTGTATGTAATAGAATGTTGAGCAATTAGAAAATAACATAGTTACAAAATGAGTGTAGCGGAAATAAAAATATTAAAGACGTATGGAAAAATAAAAAATGATAGATTACGAAATGATCATATTAAAGAAATGATAAGAGTAGCTCCAATTGAGGATAAGTTGAAGGAGGATAGATTAAAATGGTTTGGTTATGTTCAACTAAGGCCGATAGAGGCACCGATTAAAAAAAATGATAAAATTTCTCTTAATAGTACTAGAAGTAGGGGTAGATCTAAATTAACATTGAACAAAATAAAAAAAAATATAAAAATATTTAATTTAAATGAGCATATAGCACATGACCGAAATGAATGACGAAGACAAACTCAAATAACCGACCCAAAAGATTGGTATATAAGATTTAGTTTGGTTGGTTGGTTGGAATATATAGCTCACCCATATTAGCATCACAATAGTACATAGTTTCATGGGATAGTGCTGTTTTTTTTTGTCAAAATGAACAAAAACTGAAAGATGGTTTATCGCCTTAAGCTTCCAACATATATTTCGGTTTACATAGAAACAAAGTATTTCTGCATTCGACACACATTTTTCCACATTCAATCACATATTACTCAGGAAACCCTCCTAAGCTTGCATTTGCTTTTAACACTTCTCATGGAAACAAATTTCTCAACTTGTTTCTGTATTTTTCCCATCATTTAAGGCCGTCAAGGTTATTGGACATCCGCTTCTCAGTCGGGGAATAGGTGATTTCCTTTCTAGGCTTGGATCTAGATCGTCAACCGTCCACCTATGCATAAAAGAAGAAGTATTAATTACTGAAAATTAAGGTAGAATGAAAATGTCATAAAAGATGTGGACTCACTTGTATCCACCAGTCAGTCTGTGTAAGAACACCAGCATTGTCACTTTTGCCATATTGTTTCCCAAGCATGTCCTGGGTCCTGATCCAAAGGGTATGTAAGTAAATGGCTTTGGCATCTCCTGGAGACATGAAACATCCAATTATTTCTTTTTTTCTACCAAAACGAAAAAGAAATATCTACGAGCAGAGTAGGAAAATTATTAATTACATCAAATCTGGAAGGATTGAACTGCAGAGGGTCCTTGTGCAATTCTGGATCATAGTGTATGCAAGTTGCGTCGATGTTAACATGCCAGCCTTTCTTTATTTCGAAACCTGCCATCACCATGTGACCATATGAAGCACATGTTTGCACTAAACGTAGCAAACACAGGCTTAAGGAAAACTACTTTGATTATCATGTCAAGATCAGGAGAGAACTTCGGGGTGCCTTCATACTTGCAATTGTTGGCGAACAATTGCAGATTCTCTCTTGGAAGCCCCACTTCAAGAGATTTTATTAGGATGAAACAACAGATAGCAATGGCGTAATGCTTCCTTTTTTGTACTTAATTGTTTATGAAATTAATGTTAAACTTGCCTTCAATTGTGCAATCATCAAGTGCAACACGAGGATACCACAGCAAGACATTCTTAGTGTCTCTTTGAGTACCTGAAAAATGCGTGGAAGTGGTCGTTGAACACCATTCCAGAGAGAGAGAGAGAGAGATCAGATAATCAAGTGCAGAGCAAGCGGTTGAGGAAAGAGTATCAGCTTGCAAAATCAATATCGACGCAGAAAGAATTGATCTTGCTACCAAACCTTTGATCCAAAGGCCATGCTGTCAAGATCTTGAAGGGTAAGTAGGGCTCCATCTGGCTTGTTTCGAGTTATTGACAATTGTTCTTCCTGTGGCATCATATAATAAGTCATCAGTGCAACATTAATATTGTGCTTCAGAACTGAAATGCAATTGAACTCTCTGCACCCGACCCTCTTCCAAAAATTAAAAAATACAATCGAAAAATCCAATAAAAAGAAAAGTAGAGGGAGAGAAATGGACGGATATGTCACATGGGCTAGAGAGTGGTTTCTTTTGGAGGGGAGGGGGAGAGAGAGAGAGGGAGAGAGAGATAAGAGGAGGAAGAAGAATTGTGTTTTCATTTGTTGAAAATTTCAATTTTGACATTGTTTTTACTTATCAATGCATAGTGTTACCTGCTTTTTCCAAAGCATTACTAATATATCAATCTAAAGAATGATTGGCATGGAAGAGATTGAGCTCCAGGTTTTATACATGCACACAAGCATTAGCAAACAATTAGGTATAAATTCTCACCCTAAGCCTGTCTTGCACTGCTCTGTTTTCATCCAAGAACTTGACACTCCACATTATTGCAGCTGCAGTGGTAGACTGCCCGCCAATGATCAATGCTAATATATTGTCCATGATCTCCAAATCATCAAGCTTTTCATTGTCTGGATATGAATCTCTCTGTAACATGGATTGCAGGAAGTCTTCAGGAGGTTCCTCTCCACGCCTTCGACGGCCAATCATACCTCCAAATGTTTGGATGATCCTATCACATGCCTGCTCAAATTGTTTTGGTTAGAAGCAAATGATATAAGGTTGAAGAAAAACATACCATGGTTAGATGTCTCAAAAATACTCTTTCCCAACGTATAATCTCTCATTTACTATTAGACACCTCAGGCAGTTGCACTTGCAAAGCTCACCTTGATGCCATTGTAGTATCTGGTGCCGGGAATCATGAAAGGAAGGGATATCATGGAATCAGATACAGCAGTGAAGTCTTTCTCAAGTTGTTTAAGCAACGAATCATCCGTGATGCTCATCAGCATGTCGCACATTGCATCAAAGAATATCTGCACCAGAAATTTCCATTGAGGTTAGCAACCTGACTAGTTCTAATTTATAAATTTTGTACTCGGACCATTTTGGGAGTCTTTGGGAACTGGTCACCCTGTTATCTTTGTTCCTTGATGTCACACTCACGTCTTAATGAGTTCACTAATTATCAGATGAAAATACTAGCACAAGCTTTTTAAATACTTGGGGTTTGATAATGATAAAAAAAAAAAAAACACAAATGAAGAATATATGGGGGGAGAGGGGTTTTCAGGATCAGTTCTTAAAAGACAACCCTCACAGGTTGAGATACTGGTAGAACAAGGGGCAAGGCATAAATTCACACAGGTTGGCTCAGTGGTTGAAAAGGAACAAAGCGTAAACCTACATCAATCAACGTGCTTGGTTTTGGATTATTTTGTGTATCAATTGTTTTTGTTGCAACTTTGAGTCCAAATGACATGTAATTTGGATAATTCCCAATTAAGAGGATCAAAAAATGAGCACCATAGCAGTTAGTCTTTAATATCGTTCCAACATATCCTACCACAAGGACAAAACAAAAAGGGGCCAGTCATGATAATGACATAAATAAAAAATATTAGAAAAAGCAATAAATAAGAAAGTAAAACAAAAATAATGCAATCATACAAATTGGGTAGTTAATTACCTTCATATTAAAGTCAAGCAACGCAAAGCTTTTCCCATCTTCTTTTTTCTTCAGCCTTTCACACAGCATTTTGTCGAATTTCTGAACAAACTTGGATAAAGAATTCATAGAAAAGGGATCAGCGAGAAGACGCCTAATCCTTTTGAGTCTCTTGAGGAGCACAGAGCAAGCTCTTCCTCCCCACAGTATCTGCCATTGATTTGACATAAGCCCGGTTGAATAGTCCAAAGTCATTTCTTAATATTGTTTTTGCCCCTTCAACACTTGGAACATAGACATGGATGTTTCCGAATAGCCTTGTTTTGAACCACTTTCCATGCCTAGTTCAAAATATATATGCATCAGAATCAGTCTGCATGATTTGTGTTGGTATGTGCCTATAATTCTCAGACATGTACATATGAATTTTCTTTTCAGACAAGTATTTATGCTATACCTCTCTATCTCCTTAAGTTCTTAGACTTGTTGGTTACTAACCGTTTTGCTTGTGTTAAATAGTGCACAGAAATTGATACAATGAATGTTCTTTTATTCGATGGTAAATTTCTATGATGTTAGGTTATGATTTTAGCAGGTTAAAGTTTTGACTCGATATGGTCCAGAAATGTTGAAACCAATTGTAGAAACATTGGGATGGATCCCAACTTTTGGGGATTAATTATAATCTGCCCTAGAAAATTATACCTTCTCCTATTTGAGTGGTAACTTGGCTTAGTTTGGCCTTAAACTTTGGTGCACTATCAAAAATAACTTGCATGTACCATTGAAAAACCTTCACCTGGTATGTTGAATCAAGCTATATTATGTCAATCTAATGTTGCTATGTAGTAATTGGAGAAAGAACAACAATTTGATGAGTGATATGAGGAATATTAACATGGTATCTGTTTATGATCTAAAACTTATATTGATCAATATGGAACATGAATGCATACCATAATCGTCGGAGTTTGACAAAATCGTAGCACCCTTTAGTGCTGTTGGTTGCTGCCAGAAATGAGAAAGTTTCACCAACTAAAGGGAGTCCAAGCCGGCCGGGAATGCCATCTGCCTTATGTGAGCCTCTTCTCAAAGCCTTGGAGAGGAGGAACGCTACTCCTATAGAAAGCACTACAGCCAAGATGATATCATAATAGTTGCTTACAAAGAAGAGAAGCACTTCCTTAGGTAAATTCAACATCTTCTTCTATTGTTGAACCACTTGAGCTGTGGTATCTTTATATAGAGATGAAGAGAAGAAGATGATATTGAGAAATTGTTTTGAAGAAAGCATTATTTTTAACTAGAGAGCAAGCCAAGACAAGAGGCATTGCAAGATTTAAGTTGGTATAAGACAACACACCATACATATATATATTAAAGTCATTTTCAAATTGTTTTATTGTGTTGATGAGGAGTGAGGACTAAAGATTGCAGCCGAACGCTTAGGAGATGCTAAGATGGTTGCCCCTGTGGATGTTCAATTGGCAACTAAAAGACTAATGAGATGATTGATCATACCATTATAGTGCCGGCTCAAGGGTAGACAAAAAAAAAGTGTGAGCTTATTGTTGTTTAAGTCCATCAAGGAAATTGTTTTAAAAAGAAGTTCACTGCTGAGAAAAAAAATTACTACACTGCCCTTCAAAAGAATGTTTCAGTTGCTTAGCCGGATTAGGAAATTCATAATCTCAGCCCATTTATTCACACCTTGAACTACCCCTATATCTCCATTTAACACATAATGAAATCGCAAGATTGAAGGAATAAAAAAATTGATTCTAAAAAATCCTCCACAAAATTTTATTTATTGAATAATTTTGGTATTCAAATACCAAAAAGAAAAACTAAATTTGTAAAGTTTTTTTCAGGTTTTGGAAAAAACACCGAAACAGAAGAAGAAAGGGCATTATAGTGTGATGACCAAGTGTGAAATAATAAAGTGACATTATAGTATGACGATTATGTGTTACACTATAATTAAGCAAACATGTTTCCTTGGGTTTAGTAAAGTGACATCATTGTGCGATGATTCAGGATAACATCCTTGACGCAAGGCTTGAACACTACAATTAAACACATACATTCACTTGGTTTTAATAAAGAGACATTATAATGCGACGACCCAATGTGACATCTTTGACATAAGATTTGGACACTACAATTAAACACACGCATTCTCCTTGGTTGTAATAAAGTGGTATCATAGTTTGAGATATGTACATTTAGACAAATAAGTAGTTATACGTGTATTTGTTGTCAATTATTCCAAAAAATATTTTAAAATTTAGGCCCAAAAGTCCAAGCTACTTCACACAATGACATTTATTAAAGGACAAAAAAAAAATTAACAAGAAAATCTTGACGAACACTGTATCTATAGTAGCTGATCTATTATTAAGTAAACTTGAAAAAAAAAATTGTACTCAAGCCAATCTGCACCGAGAATCTCAAAAGAAGGCGCACACACACAGAGACAATCGGCAAGAAAAAGGTCCCTCATGGGCCAAGTTGTTATTGGGCTAAAATTAGTCTGTATGGGCTACAACCTTGGGCTACCGATTGAAGTACTAAAGCTGTCTCTGGCGGCAGATCTCACAAATTTTTATTTTGCACTCCATTTAATTTTTTATTATTAAACTATTAAATCCATTTTTTTTTATACCCACCCTATTAATAATTAAATTCACCCCATACTACATATACCTTTTTTAATAAGCAAACCCATTTTATATTTTATAATAATTAGGGTTTCATTCTCTATCTCATCTCATACACTTACAAAAATACTTTTTTAATATAAATTTTTCGGGTAAGATATATGTTAGTATTACTTCTCAATTTAATTTTATAATTGATTTCATATTTTTTATATGAATTTTTATTATTTTCGGTATATATTGATATCTCTATCAAGTTTAATAAATTTTTATTTAGAATTTATATGTGTGTATATATATATGTATGCTTTCAAATTANGGTCCAGAAATGTTGAAACCAATTGTAGAAACATTGGGATGGATCCCAACTTTTGGGAATTAATTATAATCTGCCCTAGAAAATTATACCTTCTCCTATTTGAGTGGTAACTTGGCCTAGTTTGGCCGTAAACTTTGGTGCACTATCAAAAATAACTTGCATCTGGTATGTTGAATCAAGCTATATTATGTCAATCTAATGTTGCTATGTAGTAATTGGAGAAAGAACAACAATTTGATGAGTGATATGAGGAATATNTTTTTTCTTTTTTATCTTGTTTAGATTTTGCATCTATACTGCTTATTTTTTTTCTTGTTCGATTTTATGTCTATGCTTGATGCTTGTTTTTTTTTCATGTTTGATTTTGTGTCTTGTGGTTTTAGGTCTTGTAGTTTTGATTATTTTTTTAATCTTTGCTTGGTTTTTTTTTTCCCTTTTTGTTTCGTTTTGTTTTGTTCTTTCTGATTTTTCCTTATTTCATTCCTTTTTTTTCTTGTTCAATGTGCTTGTTTTTTTTACTTGTTTCGTTTTTTGTTGTTTTTTTTTTATTGTTTCAATTTTGTTTGTTTCTTTGTTTTTCTTGTTTCGTAAATATATTTATACATTTAAACTAATTATCTTTTTTCATTATTTTTTTTACAATAACTTCTTTTATTAAAAGAGTATACATAGAATGAGCGAGTTTAATTATTAATAGAGTATATGTAATATGGGATGGATTTAGTTATTAATGGGGTGGGTATAAAAAGAGTGAATCTAGTAATTTAATCTCATTTTGCACCCTAAAAGATTGTTCAAATCAATTTGTACCCTCAAATATCAAAAATCTCAATTTACACCCTCAAAGATAGAAATTTGTATCAATGTGCACCTTCAAAGATCAAAAATCTCAATTTGCACCCTCAAAGATAGAAATTTATATCAATGTGCACCCCAAAGATAAAAAATCTCAATTTGCACCCTCAAAGATAGAAATTTGTATCAATGTGCACCTAAAATTAAATTAATAAATTATATCTAGATCTCCTCATGGTTGTCACTTAATCATTTGAACTCCTTCACATTTAGAATATTCCCCTTATATCTCATGAAGTTTGTGCTTGTGTAACACATAACCACTTTTCGTTGATATCTGTTAATATAATCGTTAAAAAATATAATTTTATCCTAATAAAAACTTATAATTTCATATTACCTTTTATTTTGTGCATTCGATATACTCTAAAATTGAAAATCAAGCTTACCATTTGAATGTCTAATAAAATGTAGATATTTATATAAAAGGTAATATGAAAAACATTATATAAATATTTACATTTTATTAGACATTCAAATGGTAAACTAAATTTTGAACTTTAGAATATATTGAACTCATGAATAGATATCAATGAAAATGAGTTACGTGTTATACGTGCACAAATGTCATAAACTGTAAGATTAACATTCTAAATGTGAAGAGGTCTAAATGATTAAATGACAAGTATGAGGGGATCTAAGTATAATTTATCAATTTAGTTTTAGGTGCACATTGATACAAATTTCTATCTTTGAGGGTGCAAATTGAGATTTTTTATTTTTGGGGTGCACATTGATATAAATTTTTATTTTTGAGGGTGCAAATTGAGATTTTTGATCTTTGGGGGTGCATATTGATACAAATTTTTATCTTTGAGGGTGTAAATTGAGATTCGAACAATATTTCGATGTGTAAAATAAGATTAACCCTTAAATAAAATACGAATGAATCATATCTAGGACCCAGAAACTCTTGACCCGTCCGGTCATTTTGTCTCCCTCTTGAACAGTTAATATTATATTTTTTATTTTTTATCTACTAAAAACGTGTCACATGTAAAGTTTTTAATTATTAGTATTTGTATTTTTTCATTTAATAAAGAAAATCACTCAAAACAACATCAACGGTTCGACTCAAATTTTAACACTCTGGTTGCCCCCATTCTATTGTTCTGGAGAAACATATTTTTATATATGTTTTAATATATTTTTAAAATTTTCCACTAAAAAAATTCTAATACACCTTAATCTAACTAAACATTTCTCTCATTGGATTAGAATTCTAAACTCTTTACTTACATAACTGAATCCCCTTTGTTCTCTCTCTCTCTCTCTCTCTCTCTCTCTCCTATGTTAATTTGCACGTGTTGAGAAAAACATGATTTATTACATTGATTACGAGATTCTTATGCCATTCTGTCAAAATATGAAAATTAGTCAAAAACAATTGTAGCAATATTGAATAGAATTGTTACTACTATAGTCACTATTTAATGTTTATATTTTTATTTGTTCAATCTTTTTATCTTATTGTTGTTAAAATATGTCCCAAGTACTATAAACTTCTGGGTCATCCAATGGTGCTTAGTGTTTGCCCGTGTGGCACCGCTCTATCTTCCTGAAGAAGCATGCTTAAAGAACTTAGACCAAGTCTATGGGTCGAGTCTATCTGTTGTTGCAGGCTCTGATAAGTCCACCCTCCTTCAAAAGGGTAGGGATTCACATGTTTTTCAATACATTTTCTTTTTAATTTTTTTTCTTGATGAATTATTTATAATTAATGAATAAATGGTTCGCTTTTTTATAATGTGAAGAAAAGAATTAAAAAGATAATGTATTAGAAAAAATCTCGCTTTGTGTGACATACGTTTTCATTCATATTTTATTTAAGGAGTATAAAATTTTATACACAAGCACTTTGATATTGCAAGCCCGGTTTCATACTCATTTATGAACAATAAAGAATAAAAAGGGTTTTTAATGCATAACAAGGATTCTCATGCACGCTTAGTGCAAGGATTTTATTTGGAGTAATGTTATGTATAGTAAAATTTGTACTAAATCATTTGCAGCTATTGGATCACTAGATCTCATCACTAATCTAACAACTATAATTAATTTGGTATAAGTTTTGATGTACAAATTTAGTGCATAAAAAAATTACAAAAGGAACTAATTCTTTGTTCATCAAAGCTTTGAATTTGGAAAGTTTTGGGTTTATTAGGTTTTATATTATGATTAAGTTATATTTTGACCCCTTAATTATGACTATTTTTTAGATTGTCCTTTCACTATTTCACATTACAATTTTAACTATTTCATGACTATTTTTATTTAGATTCTTGTTCAAAGGGTAAGCTAAGAAAAATAATTTCAAAATTTAGGTTCAAAAGTTTAATCTACTTCACACACTCATATTTATTAAAG